CCATTTCTTTATGCTTCTCTAATTACACCTTTTAAAATATAGAGAAACCCTTGCTCTGGCAGAATAAATAGGCTACCTGATTTACAGTAGATGCTTCCATTAAACCTTCAGAATTTCCTCTACTCATATGGAATTTTAAATGTCTTCACTGAGATACATTTTTCTCCACTATTTACAGCACAATATATGTGCATATGTAACAACTGGATGTTTTAACTTAAATAAATGGTCAAAACAATGGGGGAGGGAGTTCAGCCTATTTCCTATATCTAGTATATCAGATACGAACCTGGAATCTGGAGTCTAGGAGATCTGGGCTAGAATCCTGACTATAAAATTTACTAGCTGTGTGACCTTAAGCAATTTACTTAACTTCTCTGTTCTACTGCAGCCTCATTTATAAAATGGCAACAATAACACCTATCCCATAGGGCTGAATAAGGAATGACTAATGCATAAGATATTCTTAGCACAGAGTCTAACATACAGTAACCACTAAATGAATGAATGTTTGTCATTTTTTTAGTGTCGTAAAAAGTAAAACAGAGCTACAGAAAATTTCCCAGTTGGAGACGATAATGTTTTGGAGATTAGTAGTCATTTTGTCCATAGTCCATCATTATCTTCATAAGTGTGATGAGTTTGGAACTCACATTTTAGTGAAAGCAAAATAATTATTCTTTGAATATAATTTTCAGGTATATCGAGAAAGAACAGTGAAAAACTGCATCTTCCATTAATTAATGGCATCTCAGGCCCCTCCAACCACAGCTCCTCCCAAGTCTATTTTTCTTTTTTCTGTAACAATAACAAAAATCCTAAATACTAAGCACTAGGATTTTTATACCATGTAATTGTCATTTTATTTGGTATTTATATAAAATTTTATAATCTATAAAGCATTTTTCATGTCTTATCTCACTGAATCACATACTAAGTTCTAACTAAATAGTGAATATTAATTTCAAGTGTAAAATCAATTTAAACATTAAAATGGAGAGAGCTCTAGTCTAACTTCAAAGTTGATCTTAGCACTGCTTCTGTCTCTTAAATGGCTCTTAAATGGAAAGGAGATGGGCTCGTTGGAAGGGGCCGGCCACCATACAGGTAGGAATTCAGTACACCCTCCTCAGTGTCAACTGTGTAGGTCACACCCACTCCATGCCCTCTCCCTGCAGCCAGCACTCAGGTAAAAGGAGACCATTCTTCAAAAAAGCTTGAAGAACCCAGTCTCAAAGTTTCTCTCTTCTCCCCCAACCCCTACAAACTGCTGTGGAATAGCCTGAACCATTATCTTTTCTAGCAGCTCTTTATTTCAATTTAATGTCCTTATCTGTTGTCTTCTTTCCACTTGGCAAATCTCCTCTTATCAAATGTTACTCTGTATTTAAAATCTAAAAGATAGCTAATATGGGGCTTCTTACAGAAAACACAGAAAAGACCTTTTTTGCCATTATTTATTTGCATTCAGAACCACCTGCATTTTTAAAGCAACTTCTTTAGCCCCAGAAAGTGTCATTTTTATCATTAAATTCTACCTAGACTTTCTTGAGGATCGTCACTAATCACCATAACAATGAGAAAAGCCACTGGATAGTTCCCATTTAAACAATAAACAGCTTTCAGAAGAGAAGGAGATGAAGGAATCTTGAATTAGAAGTAAATATGTGCCTTAACATTGTGATATAAATACCTAAACTTTTGTATATTCTTAGATTTCATATAATGCTAGTAGCCTATCTCTTGTTAATGCTTGTGCTTAAAACAGTTCCACTTGTAAGTACAAACTCTTCCTATTAAGATAACATTTTTCATCGTTTATTAATCATTTATTAAATGGTTTGCCTAGTTCTGACTTTATGCTGACTTTATACTTGCAGTCTGAAATAAGTCAGGAGTGCTTAATAGTTCCAAAATTCATTTTTCACAACTTAAAAAATAAACATCAGTCTTGTATTTTTCGATTCAAACCAATATTAATCAACTAACTCATTTTGGGGGGCATTCTCCTTCACAGGTAGGAAGACATTCTTCAAAATATTTCATTACCATCCTGTCCTCTTTCTCCCCTTAACACAGTAAGGCCTTACCTCAAACAGAAACAGTTTCTCACTGACTGCAAGAAGCAACACACCTCTGTACCAAAATATTTGCTATAAAAAAAAAAAGCTTTATTTTCCTCTAATTGCTTTTTTTGACTCCATAACTGCAAATGAAAATTATGTGAGGGCTTTATACTTGTGTTTGATTATTTACTTAGAAGGATTTTAACTTATGGTAACACTTAGATAATGACTATCACATGCTGCTCTGTATCTGAACTTCTAGCCACTCTCTTTACTCTTTTACTTTTTATTTATTAAATGTAGCTTTTTTGAAGAATTTAAATAAGACTACAACTGATTAGTGGAGAGGACTTAGTTCCTCACCTGTAAAACGGGTATATGAGTTCCTCCTCAGAAGGTTTCTGTGGAAATGAAAAGAGATACTACGTTTAATGCTCCCAGTACATGGCCTGAGACACAGAAAGCATTCAACACATGGTGCCTTTTCATGGTGATGATGACAACAATGATGAAGACGGAGGGCGTGGCCATGTAGGAGATCAGACAGCAAGGACACTAGGGAAAATCCAGCCACATCCTCAATTTGAGATATGGAGCAGTTTATTACAACATGTGATATGGATTAAGTGTGAAAGGCAGCAGAACCAACATAAGATGGCATCACTACAATCAGATATGAATTCACATACTTCAGAGAAATGTTATTAGGCTTCATATTACTGGTAAAGTATTACTTTGGGTTTTAAATATTTGTTTCTGTAATAGAAACAGTAACAAAATATTTTCAAGTTTAAAAATGTTTATTTCAAGAACTGCCATGAAATTACCATTTATGTGGGGAATTACGCAGCACAAACACTTCTCTAAATACTTCCAGAGGTTGGTGAATATGTTTAAACACATATGCTGGGGAAACACAACACACTGCTGTCAGGGTTCCTAGGATTAAATGAAGCTGTCTTACTGCAGGTTTTCATCTCCTACTATTTCTTAAAAGATCACTATTAAGTTTTATATATGCCCTTTGCTTGTTCCTAATTCCTTCTTAAACATATAACTACATTTTGTGTAGACAAAATTCATGGATAAGAAAAGATTATATTCTACAGTAAAGGACCAAATTACTGTTTAAAACCCCAAACAAATAAACGGCTACATTTGATGAGCTGGTAGAGTAATGAGGAAAATCATTCTTATTATTTCTGAGTTAGTAAAAGCTATGATGGTACATAAAATAACTGCTCCCCCCAAAAAAGAAAAATTCTATAATTTGGCATTACACTGGGGTGTTCGCAGTGATTTGTCTGAGAAGCTAGCTCTGTCAGCCAACTACCTTTAGGACACAGGGAAAGATATCTGTCTTCAGTTTCTATTTGTACTGGAACAGATTCTTTTTATATTAATGCCGGATTTTACTTTTACTTTTATCCTGTTCCAAGAAATATTCAAGGATACAAACATACAGTAAGGCATGGCTTCTCCATGGCTACTGTAATAAATACTGTCTTTCCTGCTTCTCTCCCAGACTCATTACATGAGTTTGTTAATGACTGTAAAGAATATTTAAATCAGTGGGAAAAAAGCTATTTAAACACATACAAAAAAAATAAAAGCAAGGAAATGCCCTTGGATAATCTCCATTTTAAAGGTCTTCCATGTGTTTTGATTAATATCTTATAACCAATACATCCCCTTCCTTTCCAAAGCTCCCTGCCACATAATCGAAAGGACAGAAGAGCTCCAGATTCTATGGAATTCAACAGCTAATCATTACTCACACAAGATGTAAATGGAAGCTCAAATAAAACATTAGACGAGGCGTGTCCCTTACATATCCGGAGTATCCTTTCCATAAGCCACCTGACTTCAGTCAGCATGTCCCCTTTTGTGGAGTATACTTGGGCTGAGAAACACGATAGATAATACCACCACATTCATACTTACTACTTGATAAATTCAGGAAACAGGATGTTATCCTCTGAAAACCTGAAGATGCTCAGGAAGTTCAGCACAAAGTGGTGATGGTGTTACTGAGGAATTGAAGCATGCCCAAGGCTTCTAAAGCCAGCACCACATGCATGTGCACGGGGCTCTCACTGACCAGTTCCCTCCTTCACTATCACCGTCGTAATTAAGTCTGTGTCCACCAAAGACTAGAACACAATTCCGGCCAACTGGAGATGCCATGAAAGAAAAGAAGTCTAAAAAGGGCAAAATGACAATGGAATTATAGTACGTGAAGTATTTACTTCTGTAAATGTAAAACATAATTTTCTGAACGGTTAGCTTATTTCCATTGTTCAAACTTAACATCACTAGACTCATTACTCATCTTTGGAGTCTTTATGTGATTTACAGTTAAAGCATGAACACACACACACACACACACACACACACACACACCCCAGTAAATACCAGGCATCTCCTGTCGAAAGTCAGGCCAGATCTAGAAATGAAGAATTTGTAGATTCTGGGGAATAAGAAGTAAAGCAGAAGTTTAGAAACAGAAACATCAAAGCATAAGGAGACAAGTTGAAGAATCAATCAAAATAAGTACTGTGTCCAGACACCAGGAGGTCAAAAGAGGTATTAGAAAGACAGGCCAGATTTCGACGGTCAAGGTAGACAAGCATATATGTGCTAAAAGTTTGATAGAACAAAACAACAGTATCACCATCAACATATAGTCATGAGTCTGTTCTGGGGCTACATTTCCTGCCCATCTACTTATGTACCACTCACTCATTTAACATATGACATGCTGAGCACATACTGTGGACCAAGCATTGTACAGTTAAATTTTGGGTCCCTTTGATTTTTGAGGTGCCCAAGGAACATCTGACTGGCTATGGCCAGTACAGAACTGTGCATGTGGGTTTAGAGATCAGGAGAGATCCTGACCAAAAATGAACAACTGTGGTGTTGTCAGCATCTTTTTCTCTTTATGAGCCTTGGGAATGAACGGCAGACTCCTGTAGGGAGTAGAGAATGAGGTGAGTAGAAAATCAGGCCAGAACTCCGAACAACAAACAGAAAGCTGGGAGGAATGCCACAAAAGCACAGCATCACAGAAGTCAGGGGGATAGGGTGTCTCAAAAAGGAAGGAGTGATCAGAAGGGTCAAATGCCGCCTAGAGATTATGGAGATAAAGACTGCAAGTGTCTGCTGGTGTTAGGTCACCTCTGGTGGGGGGTGTGCAGTTGGCTAAGGAAAAACTGAAGCTCAGGGTAGGTTCATGGGATGAGAAAAAGGGTATTAACACTTCTGGAAGAATTTGGTTTTGGGGTGGAGGGGAGCTTTCGTTTTAAAGAATTTACAAGATAACGAAAATTAAAATCAATGTAGAGAATAAGGGTCACATGTTTCTTCAAGAAGTAAAACAAAACTTTAGCTGGCACCTAACAGAAAGTGCCAAATTTCAATGAACTGATGATGAAATATTTAAGGAAATACGGAGTGAGTCTGAGATAAACAAGCATAGAAAGAGTGGTCAAACGTGAAAGCTACACGGAAGCTTTCCTGTACTGAGTTCGGGTGGGGAGCAGTGACTGTAACTGCAATGATTCAAAAGCTAGAGTTTCTATATTTAGGTTACAAAATGTCCTAACCTATAAAACTCAGAGAAAATGAGAACTTCCATAAGTCTATAATGCTGACTTTTATTTTATCACCAAATTTGGGATTGAGAAGTGCACATTCCTCAAACTGACAGACAGAAGGATAAGAGAGTGACTCAGTTAAACAAAACTGAAAATTTTGTAGTTTTCATAATTTCTAAAAGACAATTCAAACGTAAAATAAATACCTGGAATAGAAAATAAATTCTTTTAATGAGTAATGCTTAAAGATATCAAAGGTAAGTTACAAATTAACAAATTAAAATGCTGAGAAAGTCAAGATAACGTGCAAAAGAGCTTATAACTGTGTCTGACACATAATAATGCAATAAGCAGTAATTGTTAAAATATTATTAAAACTGTAAGACATATGTATAGTTGCTGAAATTTTCCAGGTAGAAAAGCACAGTCCAGAGATGGTCTGTGTTTTTTCAGAAAAAGAGCAATCTTCCCAAATAGATATTGGATAGAGGAGACCACTTATACCTGGAGTTGGGAAGTCAGAGTAGATGAGAACAAAATAAATAAAATCATCACCACACTGGGGCACCAGACCCAACAGCCACACATGGTTATATTTGTTTCTTGAACTTGGTGCTCTCACTGAGCAAACAGAAAGGTTTTGCCCATTAGACTGAGTTTTCATTATTAACACTGGTTAAAATTTCTAACTGTGTATATAGGGCAGAGTTCTGTTACTATCTGTACTCTGTGTGTGTGTGTGTGTACGCGTGCATACATATTTGGGTATATACATCAACATGTCAGATGTCATTTTGGTTTCAGGGAATTAGATGTGCTTCTTTACCCATACATTAATAAATTCATAGTTAAATTTTATTCCTAAAGTTATTCAAGATACACATCAATATATCCGAATATGGCTGATAAGCCCTGAAGACAAAATTTAGTGACTACAGATAATGAACTTTGGGGAAAGTGAGCAATGTTCAGAGTAAAGAGAAAAAGGAATAAGTATATTTGAACTGCTGATCCACTCTTTCCCTAGAGTCATTAATTATTTCATTTCTTTATATATATTAAGTTCAAGAAAGTTTATCAAATATTATCCCTCCACTGGCTTGTATGAAAGCCACAATCTTCACCACTATTAATTAATCATGGTAAAAAGCTAAATGAATCATAGTTTTTCAGTGTATCCTTATATGTGATTTTCTGTGCAAAGATTTGTGTTATAGGTACTAGTACAAGTGTACAAGTGTACAATGTACAAGTGGCCGTGTGATGACTGAGCTGTGCTATTACAGAAGAGATCCCTAGGAAGAAGTCAGCGCTCTTTGTAACCGGTTCTATTTTACATGATTGAATTTTTAATTTTGGTCTAATCAACTTAAATTATTATAGGTACAATTTTGTGAAATATGGAATTAACGGAACTTAAGTTTTATGGAACTATAATTGACTATAAAATAGGTTTAATAGGGTTCTAATTGGAAATATTCCATTGCTCCAGAATTCATCTATTTGGTGTTACCATTTGGAGGTAAACTATCAATGGTATATTTGCTTCTAGTTGATTTTTTGGATTCCTTGCTTAATAGAGAGGCCTGACACACCTTGAACCTAAAACTATTCTCTGCAGAGTTATAGGAATATAATCTTCAGGGAATCCAGAACAGATAATGCAAATAATTCAGCTCTGAAACCCAGAATACAGTAGAAATTTCAAAGCATTGGTAAAAATTTTATCATTATGAAATGCTTAATTTTCCCTATTAATTTCTTTTTTAGATCAGTGGTCATAGAGCACACAAAGGACGATTGTAGATTTCTGACAGATATGGGGGATTTTTGGAATGAAACGTAAATATGAAATAGGTATAATTAGAACTGGAATTCATTCATTCATTCATTCCTTCATTCACCAACTCTATTCCAGGAACGTGTTTCACCACTGCGCTTGCAAAATAAAGGAGACTAATTTCTTCCCTTGCAAAGGGGTTACAATCTATACAGAAAGACAAGTACAAAAGAAACTATAACTTGTCTCTTCATCATCCATTATTTTGGTTAACGGTCCTCTGTACTGGCTGTGGACATCTAGAATTGTAACAGCAGCTTCTGATGATGAACTACGATCTGCTTATCAACAGACAGATAATTTCTGTATCCCACTGTCACCTTCTCAAGAGCATGTTCCAGTCTGATATTTTAGCATGCTCTCCAGATATATGATTGGCATTTATGTAAACATCCCCATTGCAGAGAAGAATTATGGAATATATCCAGTAGAGAATATTTCAGTCTGAGTGGTCTCATTGGTTATTAGACTATGTTTTGATCATTCATTTTCATTAAGTTATATTAGGATGGTATTGTTAAAACCTTTTGGGATAAAAATTGGGCTAAAAGACTGGAAAGGGGGAAAGCAAAGTGTCAAGTCATTGCACACTGATTGGAGGTAAACACCTAATTTATAGTTGGATCTGAACTGACCAGAAGCCATGGGTTATTTTAACCAAGCCTTGTAATTGGGCTGCATCAACAAATTACGGTATAGCCAAAGTTTCATGCTGTGCAAAATATAGGAATGCATTATGACCCATGCCGCCATAACTCACAAAATGTAAATCTATTCACAATTAAATGTTATAAAAACTATGCAGAAAATAGGACTACAGATTATAACTTGCTAAACAAGATCATAATCTCCTCATAGCAATCTTTAACGTAATACCTTAGCATAATGCTAGGTGTGATCTGCAAACTTTTGGTTGATCTATTTATGTAATTATAATCATTAGCTTTATAGAGATAGTTATTATGAAATCATTGTATAAGAAAGGTTATGACTTACCATAATTTGGGGATGCAAAAAGACTCAATACTTACAAGTCCATGGAAGGTATTAAAGGCAGTATATATCAACTGGGCCCATATGTGTTGGTATCGAAAAGAGAAAAACATTATGGTGAAGGAAGGTGATGTGGGAAAGTGGAGAAGCCCCAGAATAAAGACTGAAAATAGAAAACAAATCTACAAGAGTCAGAGGGAAGCTGGTATGGTAAAAGGATGTCATCTCTACCATACAGTAAGTCAATACAGACAGGTTTGAGCGCAGTTTCGAATCCTTACTAACTGCGACCTTATCTATAAATTGTAGATACTGATAGAACCTGTCTAATTAAATGATGGAGAAACTTGAATGATATAATTCAAATGCACAAAATGAACTCTCAGCAAGTGAAAACTTACGGATAAATAGAGCAAACCAGGAAGATAGCATGCTTACAAAACAGGACAGATATCCATTGTGATATGTCATGAGAATGTGAATGTATTAACATCTAAGGATGCATCCACTACTGAATCAGCTAAACCTACATAAGCTTGAGGACATGCATCATATGCAATTTTGGGAAGATTATATGTTTGGAACCTTTGTCATTTTCTCTCCAAATAGTTGACCTCATTGCATTGGGCTCAAAGAAGCTCTAAATTATAGAACTATTTCACCACTATATCCTCTCATCCCTTCTATAATAATCTCCATAACAGTGGTTCAGAGTGTTGAGAGACAAGCCTCTATGGGTCTCTTGCATTTCTGCACATCTTGCAGGCAAGGCACTAACTGTCCTTTATTCCAAACTATCTATTCAAGTTTGTTTGTATAGAGAACAGCCTTTGAGGATATAGCCAGTGCTTCTCCCTCCAGAGGAAAGGGAAGGCATGTCCAAAAGATTCAGGTTCCCTAAGCCCTCTTGTAACACAAGCTACTACAGCACGTGCAGGTATTCCCTGGTCCTCTTTGCATCACCCCGTAGGAACAGGGGCTCAGAGAATTGAACATTGTTACCCTGACTACTACCAATGCTGTACAGAACTTTTCTTCATCTCTGAACCAGGGGATTTGCATCTTCTACCAGCATCCATTAAACTGTGGCAGGGCAACTTAACAGCTTGCAAGCAGGGTAAAATCTCAGACCCTTCAAAATTCTTGACACAGATTTTCATGGAAAATATACCCCTTTGAGTAACTGATGAAAATGTATAAATATGCCATTTCAGGAGATTCCTGGATGCCCTTGAAGCCCATAGATCGACTGCTATAACACTGATGGACCGGGGTAAAAAATTCCTGCTGAAGTTAGGAAAGGCCATACGCATTCAGGGCCTATCAAAAGTCTTCATGACCACGTACAGAATAGATGCTGCTGGCAAGAGAATAAGCGCAAAATATAGCTAGATGGTATAGACTTGGTAAATGAGCCTAACCTCAGAAGCAGTGGGAATGCAATGGATCTTGTGAAGTCTACTGTGGTTTGGTTCAACCCAAGACTAAACACCTGCTGTGGATTCCTTTCTACAAAGAACCCTATAGCCAACAATAAATTCCACAAGTAAATTCTATTTCAGCACTGAGTGAACACTTCCAACCTTGGTGTCACAACATACCATCCAATTCTACATCTCTTCTCTTGGTGGTAGCTTTTTACCACAGTGAGAGATTTTCAACTAGACAGAAAAAAAAAAAAGGTTACCAATAAAGATACGTACAACACATGTATTTAACTCAGCCCACGAAATTTATCCAGTTTTATACTCAATAATGTAAGAAAATTAACATACTATTTCTAAAACAATGTCACAATGAAATGTTAAACTTTCAGAAGAAGTATTTCAAAGCATTACTAATACATCTCTTGGGAAGCGGTATATATGTGTGATGTGGTAAGGCAGGCAAGAGCACACTAAAGATTCTCTGTGCTCTAGTCATTAAAAACGTTGGTTATTACTGGTCTCTCTTTTTTTAAAAAACTGAAAAAAGCTTCACTCCTAACTATAAATCGTTCTAATCAGATTATCTCCTAACACCTAGCCAAAATTAGCTTTGGGAAAACAGGGTTCTGACGAGGGAAGTGGGAGGGGAAGGAGTTACAGAAGCCCACTCTACACTACAGCATGCTTTTTTCCCTTCCTAAGTGTTTTCATAATAGAAAAATGGAAAAATTACCTTTTGAGGAACAGAGTGTTTTCAGGGGGAAATATTTTTATCAGTGGTGTTAAATTATCACTGACAATTAAGCACAAAATCAGTTTAGGGGATAAAATACTCTTCATTTACAGATAATATATAGAAGATAGGACTAGATAATCTACATATGTATAAATTAGGCAAAAAAATTAATTATCTCCTCGCAGTACCTATTAATATCATGAAGTGGAAATTTTCAAAGAAAACAATAAGTGACTGATACATCTATTTAAAAAGTCATTAATCTAGTAAAAGCAAGAAATCTTATCCAATCATAAATATTTCAACCTGTCTACACTACAAACACTAAATCAGTTCGACTTTACAAGTAAGGGAGAGGAATTAGAAGAAAGCTCCTCTGAAAAGCAAGGTTGAAAAGAAATAAATAATTATTTAGTTTGGGCAAATATCTCACTACAGAAATTCATTCCTTTATAAATGTTTTAGGAACACACAAAGTTTTCAGGGATTAGTTATTCCCCTAAGCACTTGCCTGTCCATCAGATATTACATTAACTTCCTTCTCTGTGGTGTATCATCTGGTTTTCAAATATTTCCAAGGTTGTTCTACTGTCTTGATTGAATTTAACCAACAAATATATTTATCGCTGAACATTTTTAGTGTTTTCCTTTCGTGCTACCCTGAGTCATGTGCATAATACGTCCCTTTACAACATAACTTAATACAGCCTATTGCTTCACTGCAATGTCCCTCTGGACATTCTCTCAATATGAAGTTTCCTTTCAAAGATGTTTTCATAGAAGAAAAATACTCAAGTGTCCTATACTGCATTGACTGCAACCTGCTTGACAAGCAGCACATTTGACCAAAAACTTAGTTTAATAGTTTTATAAACAAGGAATATTTGTAAATGTTAATACTATTAGGAAAAAAATCCACACATACTTCAACTCATTATTTTGTATCATATATCCATGTAATTCAAATCATGTAGTCACATAATTTTGTCTGGAAAGAAATGTTAACAATTCAGTATGCAAATGAAGAAACTGAGGCTCTCAACAGTTAAGGGACCTGTGCAGAGCATAACCTCCTATAAAGATAATGAGAGACTGACACTGCTAAGAAACCAGGATTTACGCCACTACCGGCTGTTCTACCAGCACCCAACAAGCAAGGAACCACTGGTAATTCATAACCACGGCCCTGACAATCTCGATATCCATGGGCTCCTGCCTTAAGCACACCTTTATTATTGAGCAATAGAACGCTTCCGGCTTCCTGCCTGCCCGCCCCTTATTGTATACAAAACCTGACACCCCTTGGTACAGCTTGACTTCTAAGGTTCTCTACTGACTGACACCCTAGCATATTTTAACATCAGGTTAAATACCCTGATCAAGGGACGTTGTACCAGTCCTATCATAGTTACCTTTTACAATATACAAAACCACATTAGCTGGAGGATGCTGCTACTGTCATAAAAAGGGCTACGTCCCAAATTGTTTGTTTAAGATGCCTTACAGCTGCATCAATACTACGCAGAAACAGGCCTTGGGAAATTCTTAATATTCTGAAGAGAAATGCAAAGGTGTGGGCAGTTCTTTCTTTTTGCTAAGAACGTTCTATCTTGTTAGTAGTTGTTTGTATCAAATATAAACTGACCTAAAAGACATGCCTAACTATTGATAGCTATAAGCTTCCCTATATTAATGGGAAGAAACCCATTTTATTTTTTAAACGCCCCCAACTCCTTGTCCTAAAAACAAAAATAATGTATGAGATTAAACCCTATGGATGAAACCATGGCAAGAGCAGTACGGGTTATGGGAAAACGCGCGTTCCTAATGTCTTGTGCCATCTCCACTGCTGACTATAACTCTTGCATATATAATTCCATTATACTTTCATAATTCAGGGTTTTGAAAATGCTTTTGAACCATTAATATATTTTCCTGGTTAAAATTCTTTGAGATGTTCTTAACAAGAGTCTTAGATAATGAATTTGGGCAAACTCTGGAACAGTCTTTACAGTATTATCATTCTCATTAATTTTCAGAACTACCCACTGTGTTGAGATGATTGTCATGGGCCTAAGACTTCAATTTGGCTAAATATTTTTGCATATATTTCAACATATAAGTAACTAACAGATGTCTAAATGTTAAGTTCATACGAAAGAAATGGTTAAATGTGTTTACTCTTACCTTGTGATTTCTTTGCAACACTAATTCTTATTTGACTTTTTTTTTTTTATGTATTTCACAGTTTCCTCTGTGCTTCGGTCTACAATGGACCAAAAATTCCAAAATCTCTTCAAAGATAAAACAATCATTTAAAACATTTCGGAATTTAAACCATTTATGCATGCATATTATTTAAAGTATGTAGCATCACTAGCTTTTTAAAAGAGAAAACCTTAAATAGTAATGCAAACATTCTTATAAAATATACAGAGTTTATATAAAGCACAGAACTATACTTTTTTTTTTTTACCAAAAAGAGAGTTTTCCATTTATATTCTTATTTGGCTTTAGCAACCTGGTATCTAGATACTGCTCTAACCTGCCAGAAAAAAGATGGGTAGGAGGCTAAAAACAATGCTACTTTTAAGAGCGTTAACGCAGTGCATAGTTCCATACTTTCACCCAGTTTATTCTTTTTCCTTTGCCTTTTTGGTTATCTCTGAAGACTGCTTCTGTTTCCATTGTTTCATCCTTTAGCATTCACATATCAGAGCAATAAGTATTTCATTACTGGTTTATCTGTCCAGAGGCTTGAGAAGCGGTAACAATTAACCCTCCCTTCACAGTGATTGATACAGGCTTTGCTTTCAATTTGTTCCACTACACAGATCATGAAATTCTGAATGCAATCATCCTCATTGACCTACACTTTCAAACACACGGCTACAATGAGACGAAAGTAATTATTAAAAGGAACACAGGACTACTGAGATCTGAAACAAAGTCTTTTAAAAATCTGTTAGATGACCTTCTGGTAAAATTGGCAAATTCTGATGTTAAGGAAAATGATAGCTTTGTGTCCCTGTCTGGAAATATTCAATGCAAGCTGATCAATGTATATTGTGGTGATTGAACTGACTGCAGTATGTACTTCCAAAATACAGAAAGCCATTTTAGAACTGTTACAAACTAGAGATAAACTGTTACCATTATAGCTTAATCTGCCTAAATTTTTTCAAGGAAACTAAACTAACTGATTTGTGTATAAAGAACAAATAATGACCAAAGTAAAGAATGAAGGCTGGAAAAGCAATAGCTTTACTCTGTAAAGAAGAGTTGCATACTTAGGTCCGACATCTTCCCTCTCCCCCTCCCTTTAGGTGAAGATTCACAGTAAGAAATGAATACATTTTTCACAAAGTCTGAAAAATAGCTTCAAATAAATATTAATCTACTGCAATCGATATAGATGAGGAATGGAGAGGGGTGAGTAGGAGACTGGTGACTACAGAACTATATTAAAACAAGGGTTGCAGTTAAAGAAAATCAGGGCAGAAAGCAAGGCAGCAGGCCTGAGGCTCTAATCACAGCACAGAGTGATGGAGACGAACCAATACTGCATGGATTAGCGATGAATTATTTTGAACTGTAATCATATGCCTGCACAGAAGAGAGGCAAACACTAGCCATTACTCATAAACTGATCTGCTGATTTCTTGGAGAGGTGGGGGGGAAGGGAGGAATGAGAATAAATTCATATGCTAAACTAATTCAGAATAATGAAAACCTAAAGATGTGGTTACACTTCAAGTAACATTCTATTTTTAATGTCTGCCACATACTACATAATATGGGGTGTTTACACTATAAACTGTAAAGTGCTTGGATCCAAGTATGATTAATCCAACCATTTCTTCTAAGATTAGGATGTGAGATATCTACTCCACTCTCCATTTTTCCTTGTCCAATAAAACCATTTCTGAATAACTTCAATACTCCAAAACATAAAATATAGAAGTATTTAGTTATAAAGAAGAAAGAGCATTCAAGGAATTACCTTCCTTTGGATAATCTGAAAAATTCTTGCCAAATGAAGATTCAATTGTTAGAACTAATTTTGTTTGGAAGGAAAAAAAATCAAAACTGCTGGTAGCAAGAGATTCCTGAGATTCTTATGAACAGACTGTTTAAATGAAGAGCACTTTAATCAGTAGAGGAATCCTCACGTTTCTAATGTCTTGCTGTGCATTCTGCAGGTTATAGTAGCAGCTGGTAGAGGTCATATATCTTTTGTGAGCATCCCAAAAAGGCTCACTGCCAGACTGTTAAATTATGAATAAGCAATGAACAAAAGAATGCAGATACGGTGGTGACAAGATAATCCAAGCAAATTTATCTATGACAAATTCCACAGGATTAACAAATTACATTTACACAGAACAATAAAAATGTGCAAAAAAAAATGATGAGCCTACTTTTCCTTAAAGCATTAGGAAAACAAAAAAGTCACCAATCCACTGCATATATTTAAATTTAACTTGACCTAAAGTAAGACATTTATAATGTTTAAGATCTTTGTAACATTCTCCCATTTTAGGTAGACATATACAAACATTGTATGTCTGGCTTATATTTTATATATAAATTACATTGTAAGCATTATATATATGGCTTTTATACGAACCATGTGTACAATATAGAGAAATCTCATATGATAAATAAAATCATCCCATTCATATATATGAATAGAATGTATAGGTTTTTAAAAAACAGACTCTTAGAAATGAAT